TTAGACACATTAGATGATCATTTAATGATTTTATTAAATGGACCAGAAATTGAAAATTTTGATTTTTTAAAAGCATTGGAACATTGGAGAGTAAAAAACCAAGAAGAAACATTAGGTTTTAATTTTTTTTTGTAAAACAATATTCATTAATATTAAAATAAATAATTAAAATTTTCTAAAAAACGATATGTGCACACGTTTTGTGTAACGTTATATCCTCCCGCTGAATTTTCAACATTGAATACGTATTACATATCTAAACTCGATAAGTCGGACGCAGCAATCAATTGTTTAAAAGTACTTTATAATATAAAATAAATGTCCGACATATTGAGTTTAGATGTGCAGTATATTTCTTTTCATATAATTATAGCATATAATAACCATTATCATAACAAATATTATTTCATCTTTTGCTAAATTTATTTTTTTATTTTTTTTATATATGTGCGATATAAAATACAAATAGTATAACAATCAATGACTGACTGCTTATTAGATGTGATATTGCAATATAATAATATAAAATTTTCTTTTCTCCATTAAAGTTTAGCTTTAATATTATTATTTACAGTTGTGATTTCATCATATAACAAAGTAGTGATAAAATCTGAATAATCTTTACCAGTGATCTGACTTGCCAAATATCGTTTTGCCAAAATATATTTTGTACTACCAAATTTCTGAGGACCAATCTGTCTTTCCAAATTTGCAACTTCTTCATCAAGCAATTTAAGTAAATATTCACCTGTGATAACTTTACCCTCAATAGTTCTAGCATGATGTTTAGCCCATTGCCATAACTGAGATCTTGAAATTTCAGCAGTTGCAGCATCCTCCATAAGATTATGAATAGGTACACAACCCAAGCCACGAAGCCATGATTCAATATAGATAAGACCAACTGAGATGTTGTTGCGAATACTTGCTTCAGTGATTGAACCAGGGAAATTTGTGTTAAGCAAATTCAATGCATTAACATTGACATCTTCACGCCTAATAAAAATTTGATTTGGTGTTTTCAAATGTTCATTAAACACATCTAATGCAAGTTTAACAAGGTCAGGATGTGCAACCCAAGTCCCATCATGTCCTGCCTTTACTTCACGAAGTTTATCAGCTCTGACTTTGTTCATGGCAATCTGATTGGCTGCTGGGTCATTTTTGATGGGGATTTGTGCTGCCATACCACCCATTGCATGTACACCTCTACGGTGACATGTTTTGATCAATAGACGTACATATGAATCCATGAATGGAACTGTCATTGTGACATCTGAGCGACTTGGTAAAACAAAGTTGGGATTGTTTCTGAATTTTTTGATCATAGAGAAAATGTAATCCCATCGACCACAATTAAGTCCGGCAGAATGTTCTTTTAATTCATAAATTATTTCATCCATTTCAAAGGCTGCAAGAATTGTTTCAATCAATACAGTGGCACGAATTGTTCCTCGAGGAATACCAAGAAGATCTTGTGCAACATTAAATATATCATTCCAAAGTCTTTTGTTATTTTATTAATCATTTGAGAAAATATAAAAAATTTTTTAAATAAATAAGGTTTTTTATTTAAAAAAATTGATCAAACGGAAATTAAGTAAAAAATAGAAACCTTGCTTCCAAGTGTGATTCCATTTTAGGTAAATAGAAATAGGGTCCAATACCTGCTTCAACAGATTTTTTAGCATTATGGAAAAAATATAAACCAAAATCAAAGATTGATGCTGATAGTGGTTCATTGTCAATCAAGACATGTTTTTCATCTAAATGCCAACCACGAGGACTATTCAATATGTGATATGCATATATGAAATAAATATGAAAATAAAACATTAGAAATATAATTAATTTCTTTTAACACATTAAATTGAATTGGGTTAGGTTGAATGTAAATTACCGAACAATTAATGTTGCAATATTTCCATCTTTTCTTAATTCGTATTTCTTATTATTATCAGGATTAACATATGTGATTGTTTTTCGAATTGCATCACGTAAATTTACTTGACCATCAATATTATTGGTCCAAGTTGGAGCATTGGAATCTTAATATAATGATAAAAATTTATAATAACAAAATTTTTTTAATTGCTAATTATTAAATTGATTGTCGATACAAATTAAAAGAAAAATCACCTTCAAAATCTGCCATATAAGTATAAGCACCACTATTCAAAGCATTGATAACCATTTTCCTATCAACAGGGCCAGTTATTTCAACACGCCTATCAACCAAACCAGGTGCAGGATAAGCACCACGCCAACTATCATTTTCTCTGATGTAAGCAGTTCCAGGTAAAAAATCTGGAAGTATACCACGATCCAATTCTTGTTGTTTAAGAATACGTCGTTGAAGTAAAGTTTTTCTTGTAGGGTTAAAAGCTCTATGAAGTTTTGCTACAAACTCTAAAGCCTCTGGTGATAATATTTCATTATATTGTTGACTAGTAACTGGTGCAAGTACTAAAACACCTGGATTAGACATTTTATTATTATTATTTTTGTAGAAAAAAAATTTTTGCTTGCGGATTTGTTTATAAAACAACAACGTATTAGATTCGAATATGGGGGTCTTTTTCAATAGAAACGAGGACAACATCGAGTTAATACCTTATTTATATGTAACTCTTTCAGGTGGGTATAATATTTTGGCTTAGAATTTTGAACAGGACCCCCGAAAACTATATAGATAGATTCCTACCATAGCTGAATCAATCTTTAAAAGCATCATGATTTTTTGCTATAATCAATCGTTTACTACATCTTATCTATAATCAGCATCTCACTAAAATCTATTTCCAAAAAAAGGAAATACAAGGAGCACGCTGCAACAAAACTAGGGATGCCAACGGTCGGTTCGATTCGGTTTCAGTTCAAAAGTCGCGGTTTTCAACCAAAATCGAACCGAACAGCAAAACCGACCAATGCTATATGAAAAATTTAATTTATGATTCTTTTCTTCTTATTCTTTTTATATGATCTTCGTCGCACTAGCCAAATATTAAACTCAATTTAAAAATATGAAATAAATAAAAAATTTTTACCAATTTTTCTCCATACCATTCACTTTAATAATTTAAACGCATTAAAGATAGTGATCTTTATCACACCAAATACTAAAAACCGAACAATTAGTTCATTTTATTTTTTTATTAATTATTATTATCACACGGAGAAATTTAGTGGATCGATTCAGAAAAAACAATAATTCTTTTTTAAATTTGTTACCCAACAAAAACAGAAAATTCCTTCCTAAAAATCAAATTTAAAAAACAATGTTTATTTGCAATCTGTTCATATCCATTCCTCTTATCTGTACTTTACAATTCTTGAGCTCTGCAGAAAAGAGAAAGATACTATTGTTTATAATCGGTTTGGAATTGTAGAGCCTTAGATTTTCCAAAAAGTGATTTTTTAGCAAATGATTATCGCTTCTAAACAAAAAAGAATAATGAAATGTAATACTGATTCCAACTAATTTCTAACTAATTAATAAAAATTATCCTGTCAAAAAGTAATTAATTGACAGAATAATTCATGTAACGTTAGAGTACATCACTTTAAATAATAGTAAGAAAAAATCTAAACTCAACAGGTGTGAAATTATACCAAGAAATTCGGCAAAAAAAGAGGGGTGAAAGTAAACTTATACCAAGCAGAACGATTAGTTGATCGGTTTTCTATCGGTTTTTTATCATATAAAACCGACGGTTAACTGGTCGGTTTAAGACCAAAACCGAATCGTAACCGAAACTGGTAAAAACCGCATCAAGCTGTTTAACGACAACACATGAAAAATACAGCCTACGAATGACAAATGGAATTGTACAATGTTTGCAAGCATTCAACTTTTTGAAATAAGGCTCGTAGACGGCACAAAAAAAAAAAGCCAAATTTACTAAAAAAAAGTGATGCCATGTCCTGGAGGAGCATAATTGTTTTCCCCAAAAAAATCCGAGTTATTGACAGTCTTAATAATAGTTTCGCAAAAGATTTCTCCCGATTCACGTCAATTATCTACCCGTGCAACCTAAAAATTGATGCCAACCAACTTGTTTGTTGTACTTGGTCATCACCATCACCTTCGTTCAAAAGATCAACCGGCGTAAGTTTTAATTTCCTTATGTTTTTTCAGAAATGATTATATAGAATGATTTTGATGGGTTCTCCCATTATACTGACATGTCGTTATAACAGAATAAATTCTATAATTCTAAAAAAAGTTGACAAATTATGTCATTATTAGTATAACGAGATAAATAATAGGTGTCATTTAATTTCGTTGTTTCGTAATTATGTATTACGTATTACGTTTTTGGCAAAACAATTACCATCTCATGTATAATCATAAACAGAAAATGTTATTATTATTGTTAACAAAATCATGTGTAGATGTAAAATTTACTTAATTTATTCGAGATAATCAATTAAATATCTTCTGAATAGATTATAACAATAAGATTAATTATAGTACTTATCCAATATGTAAAAAATAAAAAAAATAATACATTTACGACTGCCTTTTATGCCTCAAGGACTAAATTAGCTAACTTAAAAAAGTGAGTCAATCATACAGCATCCATGTATAAATAACGTTTTTGTTAATACATTTATGACTACCTTTTATGTCTTGAGTCAATCATACAGCATTCATGTATAAATAACATTTTTATTAATGTACTTATTATTATCCAATACCGGTATGTAATAAATAATATCTATTATTATTGTTACGCGTTTTTTTATTGTTAATATTACAGAACGTCAAAAATGTCAGAAATATTATTACAATTTGAAATTTGAAGGATTTGAAGATTATTTAGACAAAAATAACCTTACACTCATTTCAATACTTCGATTTTGTAGTATCAAACAAGATTTTACATACAATAAATCTGCTGAACATACGCTCATCTCAAAATTTCTACCATATATTGCACAAATATCTAAAGATGAAAAATGGATTATGGCTGCAAATAAACTCAAAAAAGATGGAATGCTGGTCAGTATAGTTTAAGTTTAATATTGAAAAATGAGGTGATAGCAAAATATATTTTTATTGTCTAAACAACCATCTAAGCGGCCTGGCATGCTCAGGCTAGTTACAGATGCAATCTGATGGGCTTCATCCTAAATCTGCATGAAGTACCAGGGCATGCTCTTGGTACCAAGAGCGCGTTTCGTTTGTAGCCTCCAAGGACCTGCTTTGCTGTCACTGTTTTGGAGCAAGTTTACTAATCATTTCTGTTATTATCTTTTTGTAAGGATCAAACATAAAATGAGGAGGTTAAAAGATTTTGGTTAGATGTAGAAATTGAAAGAGGTGAATTTCAGATGAAACAAACTGAGGTATGTATAATGGCTATTTATGTCAAATTCCAAGGTTAAGTGCATTATTAATTCTGTTTTTGATAATGGCTTACAGATTCAGTTCATTGTTGATAGATCAATATCAAATAATAAAACACATGATTTAATTGAGGAACAAAATTTAAATTTTATTTCAAATTATGAAAAGCAAACATTGAATAGTGGCGAAATTTGTTCTGAGAAGATTAATAAAAAGGTCAGCACAGATGTAACCTCAGATAATGTTTCAACTTACAAAAAATCCTTGCTTTTTTAACATTTATATTTTCATACAGATAAAAACGACTAAGACAATTTCTGAAGATACAAATACTTATTCTGAAGAAGATGGAGAGAATGATTTAGAAGTTATTGAACATGTAGGGGAAAATCTTACAGAGGTATTATTGACTTTCTTTTAATGTAGAATGGCTTCTGCAACTTGGAGATTTTAATCATAATATTTAATCTCTTTCTTTATATGCTCACCCTGCATAATCTTCTGGTTTGAAATTAAAATTTCTGGTAAATTAACTACAATTTTAAGAAAAGCTCAAGAAAAAGAAAAAATTCAAAGAAAACACATATGGATTCTTTATTGCTTAATGGGATTCTAGAGGTTTCTGATAAAAGATATATTTTCTAATTCAATCAAAATTTGACAAAGAAGAATTAAATTGGTTAAATGGTGTGCTGAGAAAGCAGGAATGGCAGAATCAAACAAAGGAATTTAAAGAGTATATTAATCAATTTAATGAAAAATATTGCAAAAGGGCTTGGGTCCCAACCTTGGTGAGGAAAAGTTTTATTGATGGTAGATTTGATCCTTACTATAATGAGGGTTACAATATAGCACAACAAATTATGACACATTGGTAAGTGTTTTCACACGTGAACCAACCTTTGCATTATTTCTAACTTTGTTAATATTAATAGCTCTGTTAGATTGGAGGCACCAGTCTCAAATGAATCAAATTATGGCAACCTGAAAGGACCTATTCCATTGACACTATTGTTTATATAATTTCAAGGCTATTTAGAATGCATAGTGATATGTTAGATCTTGGATGGTGAATATCAATTGTGAATTTTAATTCATTTGATTTTTTTGCCACTACTAATTCTCTATTTATTTCACTAGGATTGAATTAGTGTTCCATGTCGCAATCCAAAAAAGGAAACCAAAGTGGTTGCAAAGGTGGTTGCAACCAGGTGTCACAAACCATTTTTATATG